ACGTGAAGGGCAGGGTCGTGTCGATCCACGAGCAACATGGAGCAGAGCATGTGCCGAAACGTGGAAACAATGATGGAAGGAGGATAGTACGAGACAAACTGAAGGCGATGGAGAAAGTCGAGCGTCGTGTTGTCTGATGACATGGCGAACTCGAAGGACTCGGGGTTCGAAGCATGGGCGGGCGGCATGTGGTGGTCCTTGAACACTTGCTCCAGGTTATGGTACATGCGTTGTGTGATCCATTCCTTCCCTAGAGCTCTTGATCGAGGATTCGACGGAAGGTGCACGAGCCTCCACGCTGGGATTCGAACATTGAGAGCGTCCTATGTAACTGTCAAGTAGGTTGGGGCATGCTGGTTTTGCGTACTGGAACTGACATCTGGGCGGTGACCCAATGCTGCATGTCTCGAGCCAACGACTGGTATCCCAAGACGACAGCTTTGACCTCCGCTTGCTCTACCACGGCTTGATGCCGTTCGTCTTTGAAAGCGTGCGCCACTTCTTTCCACGACAACTCCAATGTCGAGGATGTGGAAGTTGAGTGTCGCGCCGCAAGGTACTGCAATTCGGCTTCTAGCATCTCCTGCAGACTCCTCAAGTACACAACCTCCATCTTCCTGTCCTTCTTCTACTGACGCATTATGTTCCGCATGTACGTCCGCCGCTTGATCTTGCGCTCCATCAGCACTTGCGTCACCGCATCATCCGCCATCATTATTATCCCACGACCAGAATATGTCTGATTTGACTGGCCAATCAAATCCTCGCATGTGTGCACCAAAAGTAACAAGCCGACTAGTACATACTAGTAGTACCCGTGATACTCCAGCACATACTAGTAGTACATACTTCGAAGTATTAATAAAATAGTTGCAGGTTTTTATATTGCATTATTTATCAGTAAAGAGTTCTTCCACCACGTATTAAAATTCCGTCCCACAATGCACGCACCATTCTACCATCTTGTGAATCAGCAGTGCTCCACATGATGCTTAGAAAACAGCGTTAGAGTTCACTTGCAAGAGGCGGTTGCTTAGAATTCAACCAGCATCAAGGATACTGTAGTACTGTACTGTTCTAGTACAGTACAGTAGAGTAGACAGAATAGTAGCGGTACATTTAATATAAATGTTTAATTAGTGATATAAACATGAAGCCAAACACACGAGTTTCATTTAAATCTGACAGGGTGCCGGCCCAATACAAATACCAAGTCAAGGAAAGGCCGTGAGGCTTTGCCAACTTTCGTGCCCCGGATCGCCGATGAAATACACCAATAGCGTAATTGTATTTCAAGTATCGAGATATGATTGGCTATTCATGCCCTATCACCTTCAATATCGGAGCGCCATTGACAAACGTGCGGTACTCAGTCAGTTCGGATTCATTCATTTCTCAAATAGCATCGTCGAGAGTACATCATGTCTGAGCGCACTCCCTTGTTCGTGGTCTCGGAAGACAACTCCAACTCCCGCGCTAAGAAGGCGGCGCTCTTCGCTATCGGAATCGTCGGCGCCTTGGGAACGGTCGGGTACTTCCACCACGCTGCGACGAATCCCATCGCTCCCTTGTCTGTCGTCTCCTTCGACGTCGAAGAACCTGAAGTGCCCATCTCGTCCACCACCCCTGGCAACTGCAGGCGCACGTCGGACTGCACCAAGTACGGCGCCGAGTACTCGTGCGTTGCCGTGGAATCGTCCATTGCCGGATTGACGTTGCTGTCTCAATGCGTCCGCGGCGCCGTGTGCACGGGTAACGTGAACGGTTTGTGCCCTTCGTTCAACAGCTGGACAACCAAGTTTCGCCAAATCCAACCCGTGTGCGCGTTCGCCGAAGTGAAGAACTGCGACAACGCGTTGAACGCTGACGGCACGTCCGTGAACGAAGCGAACGCAAACAAGACCGTCACGTGCTTTGCCGCCACGTTCTCCAACAAGGACGGGGATGAGAAGGAAGTCAACGGCATCTATAAGTGCGTCGACGCCAAGCTGTACGCAGAGAAGAAGTTGGGGTTCCTCGACTTGACGACCCCGCAGCTGTTGTCGTGCGCCGGCAACTCGAGCGCGTTCGTGAGCTCGACCGGTATCAAGCGCGTGGCGCCGCTCTGCAACGGCCGCGGAACATGCGCGCCCACTACGCAGTTCAACTCGACGTACGCGTGCAAGTGCAACGGCGGGTACTCTGCCGATGACAACTGCTACGAACCCGTGGGCAACGTATGCGACGGATTCGGCCAATGCGGCGCGTTGGGCAGCTGCGACCCCAAGAACGGCGCGTGTGTGTGCAAGGTAGGGGCCAAGGGCGACCAATGCTCCAAGTGCGACGTCGCGGCCCCCGCGGAGAACGTGTGCAGCGGCCAGGGCGTGTGCGGCGTAGACGCGTCCTGCCAGTGCGCTGATGGCTTCGAAGGCCTCCACTGCGAAACCCGCAGCAAGTCGAACGGCACTGCGATCGCCGACTCGGACGACGCCCCCAAGGTGTCCAGCGCGACTTCGTTTTCTCTGTCGACCCTTGCCGCCGTCGCCTTGTTGGCCACGTCCTTCTTGCTCTAAACGTAATTAAAAGACCTTTGAATTTTGATCTGCTTTGAGCCATGTCTGTACTACTACTCTGTACACAAGGAATGGACTTTCCGAACGATATTTCCACTTCAATATGGAGCTACCAGCTTTGCCTGGATGGACCAATACACTGGGCAAGTCTTGGTTCATACATTGTCATGCTGTGCTCTTATAGGGTAACGACTGTCATGCAGTTCCGCCATGATTTGCGCGAGGATGGCGGGGATGTTGTTGTTGACCGAGTCCGAGTTGAGACTTGTGCGAGCGAGCAGTTGCGTTCGAAAGCGGCGGTCGCTGACGTCTGTCGTGTCGACGAGGCCCAGATGCGTCGCTTCTTCGTCCAGCGGCACCAGTCCATGCTTCCGTCGGCTCTGGGAAATGATCGACAGCGCCCGCACCTTTGTCTGGCGCGGCGATATCCGCGTGAGTTCAATCCTGCAACACAATGTCATTCCCTGTATAAATTGATATTTCCGACCACGTGGACCGATTTCGCTGGCGGTGCGAGTGCGGTCGACGCTCGTCGTCTTGGATCTGCTGAACCACATGGGTGCACTGGTGATGTCCATCTGCAAACTCCCCCAGCACCACATTCACACACTCGCCCAGTGGCGTCACTTGGTACCGCATGTCGGGCTCGTCAATCTACGCATCACCAATATGTACATATGTATGTATTTATTTGTAGAGGTTTCTGCATGGCACCACCTTTTCGTCATTGGAAGTGCTGTCGGCGAGCAGCAGCAACGAGCACAAGTGCTCGTGGTTCATCCGTCGCAGCGCCTCCATGGGGACGTCGAACGTGAGGTGGGAGCGCTGCAGGAGGTAGTAGCAGTCGCTCTCTGTGAAGACGAGGTCGTACTCCTGCACTCGCTCGGGCGAACTCAGCGGAGGAAACGCAAAATGCTGGAACACGGCGTCCTTGTTCAGGTACATGTGCTGTGTGATCCACAGTTTCCCGAGGTGTCTGGATTCTGGGTTCGCAAACAGCGTCATGTGTCTCCACGATGGCTGTAGAAGGGAGTCCTGCGTCATACATCATGATTTATGGTTCGAACGGAGGTAGGTAGTAGGTGTACGTACGTGAAGAGACGCAAAGCGCTGCATGTCTCGGATAACTGCAACGGACATGTCTATGCGGTCGCGTAAGATGGCTTGACATGCTTCCGACGCTTCGAGTTCCTGCTTCATTACATCTGCGACGACTTTCCATGGAAGCAGTAAGTCGCTTTGATTGCTCAAAGGTCTCTTCCGTGGTGGCAGCTTGGTGGTCGACATCGTGGCAAGCCGAAGCAGCTTCTCCAGGTCGTGGACTCGCTGCATCAGCCGAGAATGTTTGGACCTGTTCTTCATGCGGTGCTCTCGCTGCTTCTCTCGAAAGTACACGCGGCGCACAGCATCCGTCGCCGCCGTGGAAGTACTAACGCTATCCGACCCTCGGGTCGATGGCGTCATGATGCTTACTTGGTGTTTGTTTACCTCTCGTCACATATTAATTTATACAGTTTTCTTGTTTTTTGTGGTGTCAATAATATTACCACGATGCTGCGTGATCGTGAAAAAAACGTTTCATCTTCTACTAATCCCCAATAAAACGCGTTTTTATCGAAAGTCCATCATTATCAAAACGTGTTATGTCGGCTGCGTCAGGCGCTTGTTCTGCGGCAGATGCGTTGGACGTGATGATGCTGGAAAGCGCCGACAAGAAGCTCAAGAAACGTGAATACATGCGCAACATCATGCGGTTCTATCGCGAGGAGAAGCGGGACGAGTTGGACGCCCTCAAAGCGCAGGTGGCTGCGTTGCAGTCCGAGTACAAGTCCCGCCTTCGGGCGTCCAAACGAGATCTGCTGCTACCCTGGAGACAAGTGGCGATAGCGTTGCGAGACGACCTCCAGGATGTTCAAAACGAGCGCGCGTCGCTGCGGGCCAAAGCGGCTGCCCTGGCGAGCCTCATTCGCACTTCCAAGGGCTGGGTGTCGACCAACCTCGTACGACGACGCTTCTGCCACGTGTTACCTTCATCTAGTGTAAGCGGTTATCAACTTGTAGACTTCCATGCATGCGATCACGCCGACATGGAGAAACGTGACGTTGGAGCGCGACGAGCAAGCGAGGGAGTTGGGCAAGGCGTGGATCACCAAGCAAATGTACCACAACACCGACCGCATGTTCGGACAGTACGCGTACCCGCCGGTAACATCCTCGGACGAGTTCTTCGACATCGGGGTCGACAACACCGACGTGAGCTTCCAGTACCACCACCGACGTCAATACGCCGTGGACGTTCCCATGGAGTGTGTCCTGGACGCATATAAGCGCCACCTTTGCGCCGTGCTTATGATGGACTGGTACGGATACCAAGCAAACCCGGTAGGCCAAATCTATCGATCGATTCTTTGTACTGACTTTTGTATGTAAAGATCGTCAAGTACCACACTAATTTCAGTCACACACTAATTCGGTGTTGAAAATTGACTTTGATTGGTGTCACTTGATTCGTGTTCTGGGCTTTGATTGGTCGATATATCGATTGTCTACACTCCAATTACAATATGTATTGTCCTTTTTACCCCAACTTTGAATGACTTTTGTTCGTTGCGAAATCTATCGATCGATTCTTCTTTGAATTTTGTATATATAACGTGGGGATTGGTATCACACTAATTGAAGTCGCACACTAATTTGACGTGTTGATGGTGGTTTCTGCAATCTGATTGGCTACAATTTGTGTCATGTTCAATATGTAATTAGACGCTTACAGAAACGAGCGGCAACACGACGCTGCACCAGCTGTCGGCGGACGAGTGGATGAACTTGGTGACTGGCGAGTTCCACGACCATGATCGGTGTGTATTTGTAGTCCAGCAGGTTCAACATGACGCGGCGAATCCCACGACCCAGCGGCAGCGGAATCGCATGATTTGGTAGACCGGGGACGAGGATAGGATAGGTTAATGTACGTTTGTAGGCTAGACATGCGACCGATTGCAGGCGGTAGGACCCTCGTGCGGGTGCTGTATCGGTTCGACCAGTACTTTGATCCGTCGGGGTTTGTACCGCTGGAAGAAGAGGCGCTGAGCTGGGGATGCGACCTCCAACACGTACGGGACGACCAGAAAGAGCGCACGTTTCACTCGTATTGCACCAACCTGCTCGTGACAATCAACGCCAACCACCAGGCCAAGATCAACGCACACCTTACGACCATCATGCACGCTTCCTTGCAATGAAACCAGCCACACGACAGCTTACATGTGGTACATCATGTTGTGATTGTGAATCGACACAACCAAATATGTACAGAAGAATCGGTAAAAGGGTTTAGCCAATCAGATTGCGAAACCATCGAATTAGTGTGGGAATTCAATTAGTGTGATCCCAAGCACCACAGGACACCTTTTTACATACAAAATTCAGTACAAAGAAGAATCGATATTGATAGATTTGGCGAATCAGAACAAATTTTTAGGACAATAACGTTGGATATTGTTATGGTCGAAATCGCCATGTATGTGCCCGTAGTCATTAAATTTAGGCAGAGAGTACAGTATATTACTTCGAAGTACGAAGTACATACTGTAGTATTGGAAGTTGGGACATGGGGGAATTAACAGCTCAACGTAAATGACTGGTTCAAAGTCGAATTATTTCAGTTCTGTGGACTCACCGAACAAACTTGACGCAATGAATTTGACTTCAATTTGTTGGCATGATATCTCACAATGCATACAAAGTACACATACTGACCGAGTTTCTCCTCAAAGCACTCGAATCCAAGCCACGACAAATAGGTAACGTTATCCTATTATTTATTGTCCAAGCGCAGGACATGCAACGCGGGTCCCAATGGGGCGATGCCTTGCCATCAAGTGAACGCATTCCGCTTTGTCTTGGAGACCAGATCCACAACTACACCATGAGGATACTGTACAGTACTCCGGGTACTACCCTTGTACAGTACTGTAATCCATGTGGCAACGTAAAGGGCCTAGGCTGCGCAAATACAGTACAGTACTACTGAACAGCGTTCCCCTCGAAGCGTCACAGTTGTTTTGAGCCGAACTACTGGCTGGTTCACTGTCAAAGAGGGAATTATACCATTCGGAAACACTCCGTCCTACCCATGGTGAGTATCTACAGTACTACGTAGTACCACGTTGTATAATTCTATATCCCTGGGTTGACTGCATCACAAGCGGTTACAGTAATAACTGCTGACATGCACTTACATAACCCGTGGTAAGAGTTTACTAACTGTAAGTCCCATATATACACCCAAATTTCTGAGAAAAGAAACCGTGGAACTGTTTTAATCGGCGAATTGTACGTTTCTTTGCGCATGCAACCATTCATGTTCTCTACGTAAAACTTGCAAATTGGTTCATAACAACAAGAAATAACGTATCGGAAGTGGCGCTACAATATGAATGGTTTGACCGAGGAAATTGCCAGCTATTTGCATCATGGTCGAGTACTTCGAAGTACGTAGACAGATATTTCGCTCAGATTAGATCGATTGTGTTCTATATTTCTCTGATATACTAGTATCAAGAAACGCGATACATTTGTGCCATGCAATGATATCCAGACTATTTTGATCGCTGGGAACATACACCACCCAGCTTACTAGTTCAACTTTTCAAATCACTATGAAGAGTTTTAACCCAAATCCAATAATTCCACGTGGGATTGATTGATTTACTCGTTGAAGAGGTCCAAAACGCCATATTACAAAATATTGGACCTTTTACCTCAAGGCATTATGGTTAATCCCATTTTGCGAGAAAATGGAATATTGTTTTTCGTGTTAGAATCTGGTTTTGGAATTCGCACGGTGAATGAACAGCCTTGCCACCAATCGCAGGATATTAATACTGTGACTCATGAAAATCGCTTGGTCGATTCAAGTCAGACGTGCAACGCGGGCTCTGCGCAGTTCCATGGGATGGTGTCGTACCACCAAGTGAATGCATTCAGCTTTGCGTTGGAAACCAGACCCCAACTACACCATGAGGTGTACTGTACACTACGTACTACAGTACTGTACCCTCGTAATCCATGTGGCAACAATATACTGGCCCCGGATTGCTTGAATACTAAGCAATTCCTGAACTTACACTGTTAATCTTGAACAGCGTTCCACTGCGTACGCAAAACCATTCACGTTCTCTGCGTAGAACTCGTGACATTGTTCATTTTAACGAGGAGGGCACTCAAATGCGAGGAATTGGCATGGCAATAAGAGGAAATCACAGCCTTCTACAGCCAATTGCCTTGTAATTACTACATAATTCGCTCAAATTAGATCGATTTTTCACCGAGATTTCAAGAAACGTACTGATCGACTGTACATTTGCGCAATACTGTACTACTAATGGTACAGTAGTAGTTTATTACTTCTACTAATAGTAGGATTTGATCATGAACCAAGCTTCTTGTTCAACTCTTCAACTCACTTGCCAATATTCCACGCGGGTGTGATGGTAACTGCATCGTCGATATCGTCGTCATCTCCTACCGAATCTCGCGACAAGAAGCGCATGTACATGCGACGGAAGGCACAGATGTACCGCGCAAGGGACAAGAAGGCCGCGGCGTTACTGCGGGAGCAGGCGTATACCTTGGAGTTCGACCTCCACTGGCTCCAGAACAACCGGCTGAAGCGACCGACTACCGCCGCCGAGTCTAAGTCAGCTCGATCCTCGGAGCGATACATGGCCAGCACCAGACTCCACGCAAAGGACGACGCACTTGCCATCAACGACTCGCTGCGGCATCAGATCCGCGACAACGCGACCGCGATTGAATCCATGCTCTCCCAAGTCCACGCCCGAGACGCCGCCCACTTCCACGATGTCAACCCTCCACACGACCAAGCTTCCTTGAAGGTCGAAGAGTTTCGACGGGAGATGGCGCTATCTCCTCGTACTAGAGTTCACCTGCCGCCACTGCGCCAAGCACTGGCAGGCCAGGTACGACCTCTGCTACCGCCACCACAGCAACTTTGTCAGCCACATCGCCAGCACAGACCTGTGCTACACCGTTCTCCATCCCATCACTCACCCCTCGCTGAGTTAAGTCACATCCACGCCGCCGACTCCATGTATCAACTGCATCAAGCGAACGGGTACCCATCATGGCGACCCCAGTCGGAAAACTACCTGACCAGCCAATACTCCAGTTACCAACCTCTCGCGTGATCATAATCGTTCCAAGTCCAACTGGCTGCAGTACACAGACTGCAAACACTGTACAGTATGAGTATCAGTGGATATATTGCAATCAAGCAAAGTCCTATTAATATAATATATGGAATATCTTAATAAATACGAATATATAATATATATATATACAAGCAACACAGTCATAATACTCAAGTATAGTACTTATTATTATATACTAGTACTGGTATGGTTCTCCACAGCAACTGCTTGGTCGCTATAGTCTTTTACTACCTACAGGTATAATATATATATAATATATATATATATACAAGCAACAAAGTCATACTCAAGTATTGTATTATATAGTACTGGAATGGTTCTCCACAGCAACTGCTTAGGTTGTGTATTTACTACCTACAGGTAGCCGCATATATCCGTAGTCGGGCGGAAGCCTTCGCTTCTTGTCGTTCATTGATCGCATTGCAGGATGCGACCTGTTCATACCCTTCAAGTCACGACTGGAAGTACGCTTCGTAACCATCCGCGATGTCTCCGTAAAGGTCTCGGGCGTATTGTTGGTGCTTCTTCTCGATGGCGGTTTTGTCTTGCTGGATTCTCTTCTTTTCTGTGCTGGTTAGCTTGGGTTGTGGTGGTGGCGATGGTTTGGTCGCAACAGTCGACACCACGAGCGTATGGGTCACGCGGAGACGAAGCTTCTTCTTTCCCAGTCCTGCTCGATCGCGCTTGAAGCACGTCGGCACTGGCTCCGTCCTGCCTTGCTTGTCCACGCCCAGACCTTCTCCTGCCTTCCATCCCATGCCTGCCAGCATCTTGTAGCCCTTGTTCGACGCTGGAATCTCTTGCTTCGCCATGCTCATTTTGGCTGGGAACTCAGTGGAGTACCGGATACCGTATCCGGATACCTTACACTTCAACAATGCGGGAGGCTGTGCGAAGGAGGTACCCGCCCTGGCAGACAAAAACCTCATGGCGAAGAACCATTCGCAACGAACGATGCACTACCGTAAACAGAACCATGTTGCGGTCATATTCCACCTTGCTCACGTGTCCGTAGAAATCCCTCGGCTCGACCATCTATCTCCACATGGCGAATGTGTCGCTCGTGTCCAATCCCACCAGTTCGAAGCTGGGCAAGCAGTGGATCACGCAGCACTTGTACCACAACACCGCGCTAACGTTTGAGAAGTACGAGTACCCGCACAACGTCGTCGACTTTGCCGACAAGGGCATCGAGTACGTCCACCTAGGGTGCTTCGGCGTCGGCTGCTCCCTTCCCGTGCTGCTGCATGTCCTGCGCAACCACATTTGCGACTGGAGCTTGGTCGATGGCGGGCATCCAATGTATATCAACGTAAAACATGATGCATACTTGAAATATATATATATTTGAATATTTAGGATATCATACTTAGAGTTAATATAGTGGTGCATCTTTAAAAAGACGTACTACGTAGTACGACATTGGATTTGTCGCATACTAGTATCATGGAATCCAATATCAATCAATGGATTGAAAAATGTTCCAATCGTTTCATTGATATATTGATGTATTCCATTCATTTTGGAATGATAGTCACGTGTTTTATATATTTCATCGTAGTACACATATATTAACGACACATCGTCGTACGGGAGTGTTTCAACTGCATCCTACGGTGAAATAATATATATATATTGTGTGGAAATATATTATTGATTTGGTACAAATCTCTGGACCCCGTTCAATCGAATCACGCCGACCAAACCGATCACGAATCGCTCCGATTGGTCCATCTGAAAATGCTTGTCGCTGATTGGCTATATTATGTCTACTTCTTTTTTCTTCGTGCTTTCTGCGGAATCGGGAAAGCCAATGAGACTTCGCGGCAAGATTTGTGATCGGTTGGTTTTACGAATCGTGCAGAATTGGGAAATATGTAGCAACTTCATAATATATATATATATACTTCTGATTCGTGGATTATAGACCCAAGCCGAAGTGACTGAAGCCACGACATTGCACCAGATCGTCACGCCTCGCAATCAGCAGCACTTGAACCTCTCCTCACAGGGCGCTTACAGTACATTGATGATACTCGTAATCCAGTGTACTAAATGCTACGAAGTTAGTATCACACTGTTTTCGATAGCTTGGCTAATCCAATTTTGAGTCGATTTGATTGGCTCTTACAGAGAGGCCAATGACCAGAGTGATTCATTATTGATTAGATAAACCATGCGAATTGTTTTGATCGTCCATCTCGGCGAGAATTGGCCAGCATGAATGGCTCGTTGAAGGGGCGAAGGCGCAGTGCTCATACTTGCAGTGTTGTGGTGCAATTGCACACTTTGCCTAACCCTCTCGACTGGGTAAATAACGTCATCACTCTCTGCCACGTGGATGTCGCGAACCAGAGCGATCACCTCATCACACATCAGAGGCGAAAGCATTTAATTACAGTAGTATTGCATGCACCTGCATAGATTGTTGGGCCTACCGATGGAGCTCCGGGATGGCGGTAATGTTAGGTTGGTGTAGGGAGTCGAATGCGCTCTGTTCGCTTTCAGCAATCTTCCTGTGGCCATGGAAAGCCCTCGCAGCTTCACTCGATGGCAACTTCGAACGGGTGGTCAACTTGAGCTCCAATGCGGCGAAGGCAGATTGAAGGTCCTGCAAGTCGTACTTCTTCATTTATCCTGAGTTTGGTGGACCTGTTCGAGTGGTCAATTTGGTAGTGAAGCGTATGATTGGAGGATAATCACAATTATGCTAACGTCAATCTTGCAGTTGAAACACTTGATCAAAAGATGAAATAAATATTTGCGTTGAATATTACGGAGATTTCGGAGGCATTGAAAACAAAGGGTTATATATTTCGGAGACAATATTATTTCCCTTTCCGTAGACTACAGTATAGGTGGAGCGAATTCGTGGATCGGCGAGGTCATACTGTAGTGAGTGGTCCAGTGGGTCATTTGCCGATGGTAGTGTTGGGGCTAGTAGGGACGGCAGAGACATTCGAAGCATTGAATTGATTGAAGCTCAGGTTTAGTTCACAGTCACATGGTATATCTGCAGACGTTCGAAAAGGGAGCGAATGTCATTCTTCTGAAACTGGCGCCAAAGTGCTACTACTATTAATAGTACGTAGTACTACTTACAGACTACTATACCATTGTACAGTACATACTACTGTACACATATGCAGAGATCCGTTGGCGTCATGCGGGGACTCACTGGGGGCCGTTCTGTCCTTAATATGGGGTTGGGTTTGAAAAGAACAATTTCCCCTAACTTATGACGACTGATTGGCTTACCTTATCTCATGAATTTTTCATCACGGTCCGAAGTAACTGGAAATAAACCGTAGAATCCCTACTAATTCGTCGAATTCCAGACGCTTTAACTTCTGACTTGAATGTACGTGTATCCCCAATCTTGGCTACGTCTACGTAATACTAGTCAATTCTGACATGCATCCCTCAACTAATTCACCACTATATATATGTGAATGTCGTGAATGACTTCTTTAACTTGTGGAAATCACAGGATGCATTTGTCGTCGCCCAATTTTCCAGACCCCGCCGAATCGAATCGCGAATCGACTCTATTGGCTAATCCAAGATTTGATTGGCTCTTACAGAAAGGCCGAATAATTCAACCAATCAGAACTCCAGGTGATTCATTATTGATTAGATAAACCACGCGAACTTCGGAAGTTTATCGCCCGTCTCGGCGACGTCCGAATTGCCCACCATGAATGGCTCGTTGAAGGGGCGAAGGCGCAGTGCTCATACTTGCAGTGTTGTGGTGCAATTGCGCACTTTGTCTAACCCTCGACTGGGTAAATAACGTCATCACTCTCTGCCACGTGGATGTCGCGGACCAGAGCGATCGCCTCATCACACATCAGCAGGGTATGGAAAAAGATTCGTCTGGTAACATTTCAAAAATATTATTCCATTTTAAAGGGTGCGTCTGGTAACATAGCAATTTTCCGGAGTAAAATCAATTAACTACTGTATTGTATTGCAGCGCATGACCAATACAATTATTGTATTGCTTGGTGCATATAAATATTTAATTGTCTAATTGTCAATTATATAAATGCATAGTTATATTTCTTTACAAATGATAAGATAAAATATTGTTGGCTCGTTGGCTCAAAAAGGTTATTTTAGATTTCGCACAATCAGTAACGTTAATCGCAAGTCGTACTTCTTCATTTATCCTGAGTTTGGTGGACCTGTTCGAGTGGTCAATTTGGTAGTGAAGCGTATGATTGGAGGATAATCACAATTATGCTAACGTCAATCTTGCAGTTGAAACACTTGATCAAAAGATGAAATAAATATTTGCGTTGAATATTACGGAGATTTCGGAGGCATTGAAAACAAAGGGTTATATATTTCGGAGACAATATTATTTCCCTTTCCGTAGACTACAGTATAGGTGGAGCGAATTCGTGGATCGGCGAGGTCATACTGTAGTGAGTGGTCCAGTGGGTCATTTGCCGATGGTAGTGTTGGGGCTAGTAGGGACGGCAGAGGCATTCGAAGCATTGAATTGATTGAAGCTCAGGTTTAGTTCACAGTCACATGGTATATCTGCAGACGTTCGAAAAGGCAGCAAAGGCAAGGAATGACACACTTCTGAAACAGACACCATAGCGCCAGCTGCCGAGGAATGCTACTACTATTAATTCTGTAGTACGTACTAATAGTACTACTACGAAGTACTAGACTATTGCACATTCTACTGTTCATATATGCAGAGGTCCGTCGGCGTCATGTGGGGGCCCTAAAATGGGGTTGGGTTTGAAAAGAACAATTTTCCATAACTTTTGACGACTGATTGGCTTACAATATTGTCCAGTCGATTCGAAACTGGAGCCCTCAGCAGAATCGAATGTCTTAAGGG